CCAGCATACACTACCATGGCTGGGCCCTGCAATATAATTTAAAGTAAATAGCATTGTAGTTGGGCTTTTGTTGTTGTTGTTTGTTTGTTTGCTATGGGTCTCATATGCTTGCTGGAGAGACAGAGAGAGAGAAAGTGAGAAAGCACACCCTCAGGGGGATTGGCTGTGCCGCAATCCCTTCTCCTCTTGGGATTTTGGGCACAAATGCACATGCACCTGACATGAATTTCAAGCTGCCAAGTCTGGGACTCAAACTGCAGTCAGTCATGTCCAGCAGCATAACCACTATGCCATCTTCTGGTCCTGGTATTATAGTTTTTGAATAAAGGAAATATGGGAAAAAGGGCTTTTTGTAAAGGAAACATCAGTTAGAGCTCTTGCCTCCTAAATCTCTAAAAATCTCATTGACGATGATGACAGAAACCTCAAGGTTACTAGGAATGAATGTAATAAAAGATATTTTTATTATTCTGTAATAATATAATACAAAGTAAAGATATATAAGAAAAAATACAGAGGACAGTTGTACTATCATGGTGGGTAGCACAGTTCCAAGGGACCCTGAGAATAACTCCTGTAATATGTGTCCGTTCCTATGTAGCCTTGATGCCTCCCATGGAAAGGGGGGGTCTTGTCTCCTTTCCTGGTTTCTGATATCCAATCACTGCTTCAGCCAACAGAGTGCAGCAGAGGCACTGCTTCATGACTCCTGAAGCTGTCACAGAACGCCTCTGTGCTGCCAGGAAGCCAAACCACCTGCTGGGGCCACCTGCTGGTGTCTTGGTTCATGGACAGTCTTTGTACCCTCTCAGCCTGGTGCCCATCAGGAGGATGAATGAGCCTTCAGACAGTGCCAGCTGCTGTCACCCTAGTGTAGTCCTCACTGCTCAGGTACCAGATGTTTTGGAGGGCCATAGCCATACATGCTAAACTCCCACCACACAAGGAAGCCCCTGGTGACAAAGAGGTTCTTTTCAAGGTTCTTTTCACCTGCTAAAAAAAGCCAAGATTTCCCCAGATAATCTTATCATTTTAATGCAGTTTTAACCAAAATCTTAATGACATTTTTAAAAAAAATTGCTATAAAGAACATGTGTACATGCATAAGAGATGGTACCTCACGGAGATGTCATGCCACAATTCCTTCTTCATTTCTCCTTCCTTTTGAGCTTTTGGGCATGCATGCACATGTGCCTGTCATGTTTTTCAAGCCATCAGGCATGGTACTTGAACCATGAAGCCAGCCATGTGCGATACAGCCACCTTAACCACTGTGCCACTGGCTGGCCTGACCTTTTTTTTTTTTTTTTTTTTTTTTTTTTAACACTCAACCAACTGATACTAAGATTATTATAGAAAAGCAAAGGACCAAAAAGAACCAACATAATTCTAAAGAAAAACAGTGGTGTTCCATGTTCCTGCCCAATAGACCACAGGCTGCTTATGGAGCAGTGAAAACTGAGTGGTGGTGCAGGGACAGATGCATGGATCAAACAGAGAGGGAAGCCCAGCCATCTTAGCGGCTGCTACTTGGTGTATCACAGAGGGTGACTGGGTCAGGGCAGAAGAGCCCTGGCTTCCTGTGCTGGGAAAAGTCAAATCAGACCCCAACTTCACATCATACACAGCCACTTCTCACACACGCTACGTAAGAACGAGCTTTAGTTGTATTAATTATAGAAATGTGAAAGGCAAGATGAGAGTTCTGAGACTGACATAAAGGAGAATAGCTTTACAACTTTGCTTTAGGGAGAGATTTTATGTAAGGTGTAAAAAGGATAAGATTGTTATCCTTGGCCATACTAAAACAAAACACTTATTTCCTGAAAGGCACTCCAAGCAAAATAAAAAGATGGGAAAAGGAGATCAGCAGCAAGCTTTACTAACAGAATTAGTATCTAAATAATTAAAGGGCTCCTGCATGTCAGCAAGAAAATGAAAGCAACAGCAGTTAGAAAGCTGGGCATTTCACTTAAAAGAGGAAACGCAGGTAGACATGAAGCATGTAGGAAGCTGCCCTCTCCCGCAGAGAGAATGTCTGATAATGCTAGTTCATGTTTCGTTCTAGAACCTTCCAAGGGAGTACTTCCATTCCTCTACCACCCTCATGCTGTTGTTGTATGTGTACTTTTACTCCTGCTTACCTTCTACTTCGCATACGTCGTTGCTATTCTGATTTTAAACAGTTCTCTTTTACAAACATCAAGAAGTAAGAAAAATAGCAATTATTTTCAGTGCTCTTCTCTCTTTGGTGTAGATTCTGGTTTTCATCTGGTATGACTTTCCTTCAGCCTGAAGAACTTTCTTTTAACATTTATTTCAGCACAAGTCAGCTGCCGATGAATTTTCTCAGCTTTTGTTTGTCAGAAAGAGGTCTTTGTTTTCATTTTTGAAAGAGATTTTTGTTGGAAATAGAATTCTAGCTTGTCAATTTTTTTTCTCTTACTACTTTAAGGATATCATCATTCTATTGTCTTCTGTATTGCATTGTTTTTGATGAGAATTCCACCATTGTTCTCATCTTAATTTTCTTGTATATAATGTGCCTTTTTTCCCTCCTGACTGTTAGATTTTTGTCTTTATAGCTGGTTTGCAACAACTCGATTATGCTGTACTTTAGTTTCATTTTCTTTACATTTATCCTTCTTGAAGTTCTTTGAGCTTTTTCAGTCTGCAGGTTTAGTTCTAATCAGATTTAGAAAAAGTTTGTTTCTTGTTTCTATAAATACTACTCCTTTTCTTCCCTTCCCTTCTTTTTTGTTGTCATACTTCGACTTCCTGATGTTAGACTGCTTGATTTTGTCCTGCAGCAGATCCCTCACACTCTTCATTTTTTTCAGTTCATTTTTCCTCTTTGCTTCAATTTTGTTAGTTTCTGTTGCTGTATCTTTCAGTCACTGATCTTTTCTTCTGCACTTTTTAATCTGCTCTTAAGCCTATCCAGTGAATTTAATTGCTATTGTATTTGTCAGCTCTAGATGTTTCATTTGTTTTTTGTAGCTTCTTTCTTCAATATGTTTGTTTCCCCTTAAATCTTTGATCATATTTATGCATCTGCTTTAAGATTTTCAGCCTGTTTCATCATTCTTGTCCCTTCTAGGTCTGTTTCTCTTGGTTGCTTTTTCATGTGACTATGGGTCACATTTTTTGCTCTTCTGCATGTGATATCAGATATGAAGGCTGTTATTTTGTGTAGTGCTTGAACCTTGTTTTCTTCCCTTCAAGCATGTTCATGTTTGTAACTTAACATTTAAGTTACTTAAGGATCAGTTTGAATCTGTCAAGGCTTGTCATACTGCCTTGCCTCTCCTCATTCTTTTTTTTTTTTCCTAGACGCAGAATTTCTTCTTCCTGACATATGTATTGGACAAATCACATGATGCTTGTGTCCTTTCCTCCCTGACATCTCAAAACCGAGGGACTGTGGGTGGGACGGTATACTGCCTCATTGGAAGGGCCACACAGATGAATAAGGGAGACTCCTTGTTTTCCCATGGATAGGCCTCCAGGGGTATGTGGGGGCTTTCTTCCCTGCTATGTTTTATAGAAACTATGGAGCGGTCCTCTATTTAAACTTCCCTGATAAAATATGGCCAATAAGATGAATGGAAAAGGATGGAACCATTTATTGATGGGCTATTCAGAGATCCTTCTCTTCCTTTATGGTTGTAAAGCCGTGGCAGCTTGGCCACTATCCTCACCTCTGCTTCTGTAAGGAGCGAATGAGGATGAAACTGCCTGGACTCTGGGGATGCATGTGTGAGTGAGGGCCCCTAACCTGTGCCGATGGCTACCAGGGAACTTATTTCTCTGTTAGAACCAAACATGAACAGCCAAGAGGCCCCACACCCTTTGGAGTCATGCTTCCTTGGCCTTTGACTTTGGGTGAGTTGTCAGTGTCACCATCCTGGAGAGCCTCAGAGTCCCAGCATCTCATGCGCTGCACAGTGGCAGTCAGATGACAGGCTTGCACCCAGTTTGCCAAGAACATGCAGTAGGTCTTAGTTGGTACTGCCACCATTCATTTCTGCTTCCTTCCCTGCCCTGCTTCCTTCCTCTGTTGTTCCACAGTTGGTTAGTGGTATTTTCAGGGTGATGTAAAAAAACAGTATTTGAACTACATCCTTGTGCCTCCTGAGTATACCTGTAAAATGGCGAGGTGTCTGTGTGGCTTTTTACTCAAGGAACTTACTTTTTTCTTTCCAGAGAACTGTTATCAAGTGATGCAATGAAAGAATATAACAGGGCTCGAGTCTACTTGGATGAAAACTACAAATCCCAGGAGCATTTTACAGTAAGTCCTCTTCTGTCCCATGATGTAAGTGTTAGACATATTGAGTGTCTGTTAAAGCCAGCCCTTCTTCTAAGTACGTAAAGAGAACTGGTTTGAATGTTCTCTGTCAGTAGCATAATGTGGATCGTGGCTGAATTAAAATGATGCTACGTTCTTGCTGCCAGTTTGGTGGTCTGAGTCCACAGCCAGCCTGGCAGGCATAGTAGGCAGGGATGTTCACAAAACATGACACAAAGGGCTTCCTCAGGGCTGTTTCTACCCAGGTGCTGTTGGTTGCTTCTTTAGATGGAGTCTGAGTGGGAGGTGGGAAGTGGACAGAAAGGGAGACCCAAGGCTTTAGTGTGTTTGAAGATAAAAGAGAGAGTCGGGGGCTCCAGGGCTCATAAAGGTGAGAGATGGAACTGAAACCTGGACAGGCTCTGCAGAGCCGTCTTGTTCCAGACCAGCTTTTATGCTCGGCCCATCCCTTTTTGACCCCTGAGCAGGCCTCAGGTCTGCTCCAAGGGTGCTGAGGGGGATCTGTTTCAGATAGGGGCTGCCCTGCAGGAGTCAGCACAGGGGAGTAGGCCAGAGCCTTCTGTGGAACTAAGAAAGGTCTGTCCCTCCTCTACAAGAATTGTTGGTCTGGTGGGACAGTGGACACGTGAGCAAGTTCCCCTAGTGCAGCTGGCACAGGGGATGCAAGGTACCAGGTGCATGAGAGGGGGCTTGGGAAGCTTTTCAGAAGAGATGTTTAATAGGTTTTGAATAGCTTGTAGTTGGTTTGGAGACTCATGCCTTAAGCCCCCATTTTAGGAAAGTCCTAGGCTCCCTTGAATTGGGTTAGTTTCCCTGCTTTCTGTTCCCCTGGTGGTGTCACTTCCCCTGCTGTCATATTGTTACATTTGTAGGTACTTGTTTACCTCTGTTCTCCACAAGGTGGATGTTCCCTGCAGGCACCTGTGGTATGGTATGGGTCTTGTTCTTGTTCTTCAGCTTGTCTCCCTGCCCAGCGACCTTGGAGTGAGAGCAGGTCCTTGGCTGCCATTTGCCAGTCACATAGAGAGATCCAGTGGAGCAAAGATGTGATCCTACCTGTCTTAGGGAATGTGATATAACCTAATTATCAGTCTTTAAATTTGGAGTATCTAATGCCAGTTATGTCTTTTTATTGCTGAGATGTTCACATAACTACAGGTTCATGGTCTTCAGCTCCAGCTGAGTCCACAGAATCCTGTATCTTTGGTCTCTTGCCTCTCCTACTCTCTGCAGCTCCTTCAAGCCTCCAGACTTCTTCCTGCCCACCTGCTACCACATTCAGAGGTGGCTTTACTTCCAACTCGCTTGGGTATGCTGAGCCCACAGGGCCCTCCTCTTCCTGGTGCTCGGGACATAGTCACCTCACTCTCAGGCCTCTCCTTTTTTTCTGCCTTATTCCCTGATGGCTTCTTCCTCTTATCCCCAAACTTGCCTGTTCTTTACATGAAAGGGCAGCATCCCTTGACCATCTTGCTTTCCTCTGCTATGATTCATCTTCCTGCTTTTTTTTTTTTTTTTACCAAGAGAGACTTTTTCAGATGAAAAAGACAAAACCTAAAAAGAAAAGTACATTGGTTGGAATAGATGCTGCAGAAGAAAAGAAAGAAATGGCTGAACTTGAAGACATAACAATAGAAATTATTTAAAATGGAACACATGGAAAAGAAAAAACAGTACTGAAAAGGGTGGTCCAATGTATTTGTAACCAAACTCCCAGAATGAGAGGGAGGAGTAAAGAGCACATGTTTAAAGAAATAATGGCTGAAATTTTTTTCAGGATTTCATAAAATTTATAAACCTGTAGATCCAATTATTGTAACAGTCTTCAAGCAGAATGAAAAAAACCCATACCATGGCACATTATAATTAGATCGCTGAAAACACGGTATAAAAAGGTCTTCCTTGCTACCCATTATCCTCAAAAGAAGTGTCTGTGCTCACTGCCTCTCCTGTTTGCCCTGCTGTTGAAACCTCATTCCATGCCTCTTATTGGTCACCTCTTCTTCATGGGAATTACCCCTCAACTCTTTAAAAAAAATATTTTATTTAACTTTATTTATTTGTTTTACTCTTATCAGAGAGGGAAAAAGTGGGAGAGAGACAACAAGCCGCCAGGTCCAGGATTCAAACCATGGTCGACTCTGTGGGAGTCCAGTACCCTCAACCACCACACCACTGGCCGGCCCCTGCCCCTCAACTCTTTGCAGACTTTAGTTATAAAGACACAATTGTTTCCAAAGTAAGAGGATGAAAGAAGATATACCATGCAAACACAAGTTGAAAGAAAGTAGGAATGGCTATATTATTATCAAAGTAGGCCTCAAAGCAAGGATAAAGAGGAATCATTTCATAATAATAAAGAGGTCAGCCCCTCACAGGACATAACACTCCCAAATACATGTGGCCCTGATATCCGAGCTTACGTAGACATGAAAATGAACAGAACCGAATGGAGAAATGCACAGGCTTTCCCATAGGAGATGGAGACACTCCTGTCTTGCTTGATATGCAGATAGACCGGGGTTCACTATCCACCAGCCTGAGCTTTCTGATGATGGGGGTGCTTCAGTGCAGCAGTAGCTGTGCAGCTGTGCAGCTGTGGGCAGAAGGCATGTCACAGAGTGAGGGGCAGAGACCAGAAGGAGCAGCCCTCTTGACAGTGAAGCAACAGCAATTAAAAACCTGAAAGGGAAAAATAGCTGTTAGACTTTAATTCTGTTTCCACAAAAATATCTTTCAAAATGAAAGTGAAATAAGTTTAAAGACTTTTTCAGATAGACAAGAGCCGCAACTACCTTCTAAGGCTGACTTTTAAGCTTGTTTTGGATGGGTCCAGAGCAGACACGGTGGGGTATTCAGATCTGCCTTTCTGAGGGCTCTGCTTATGTGCATATATGGGCATTTCCACCCTGGCCGCTGGAACATAGTCCATTCCCAGTCCAAGATAGGGTCTAGGTTTGCTGTCCCATCTTCCCAGGACTCTCTCCTGGCCATGGCAGTGTGCAGGGCACATTCACTGTGACATTCGAGTCTGGAGTGCAGAAAAACCTCTCAAATCTAAAGGAATTGAAATAATATAAAAGATATTCTCTGACTAAAAGGAATTAAGTTAAAGGGAATGAAATGATATACAGAAAGTTCTCAAATACTGAGAAATAAGCCAACTTGTAAATAACCTCACAAATCAAAGAGGATGTCACAAAGGAAATCAGGAAATATTTTGACTTGCATGAAGAACAAACTAAAAAATCTTCAAAATGTATGAGATGCCAAAATAATCTGTAACTACTGCAGATGCCATGCCAGGGGTTCAGTGAAGGGAGGCGCAGCTCCATTGCTGTGGAAGAAGAACATGCTGTGGTTCTAGCAGGAGGAAATACAAAGGAATGCACCCTCCCCTGGAGAAGCTTGGTCCAGTGTGTCCCTTAAAGTATTTAACAGTAATATTATGCTGATCTGTTCAATGCATATTTTTGAATTTCAATCTGAAGCTTCTGAAAGGGTGCAAGGCGCAGGAAATGAGATGGCTGATGACTTGAGAACAAAGTGTCCTTAGACCTGTTCACACAGGAGGTCCTGGGTGCATCCCTGCACTCTCCTTCAGCTCAGGGGGAGGTGGGTGGCATCTGTGGCCTGGCTTCCTTTTCCAGGGAACACTGTTCTCCTGGTCTGCTCCATAGCCATGTTCTCATCCAAGGTGACTTCAAGCTAAGCTGGTTGGATGACTGTGGGCAGCCTTGTCTGGGGGTAGGAAATGGTCAGGGATGCTCCAGACTCTGGAACTCATTCCAGAGCTGGCACGGAGGAAATGTGAATTCATCGTTCCTATCTTGTAACTAAGTCTGTCGTAGTTGCCCTTAGGCCCCTCAGCACCAACTTTTCATGCTGGACTACTGTCCCCCTCAGTCCTCCTCAGTGTGCTGTGGTTTTTGAAGGGGTGAGGGGCATCCCTGGGGTTCCAGGCAGAGCTGAGCAGTAATGACCAGCCAGGCCGTCACCATCCTGCCCCAGCCTGCTGCCCTCTGGCTGTCAGAGGGAGGAAAATTTAATTTTTACAAGATTGATGGTATCAGAGCAATATTTTCAGCTGAGTCTGGTTCAAATAATAGGCCATTAATTGAAAAAGGAAATTGAAATGAATTTATCTTGTACATAAATGCTGTCATGAGTATTAATGGGGATCAGAAAGTAGTGGCCTGTTCCCAGAAAGCAGCTGAACCTGAAGCTGCATCTGGCTCATGAGCATGTGGGTGGGGGTTTGCTGCTTGTGTCCTTTTACATTGGTGCGGGGACATGGCCTGGAAGGCCTTCCAGGCAGAGGCAGACAACCTGCAAGTGACCATCATAACCAGGAGATGGCGCCAACGCAGCGTCTCATGGCCCAAGTGTCTCTTACATGCGATGCTCAGAAGGTGATTTTTATATTTTAAAATGGTATTCAGTTTTATTTACTCACAAGCATACGTACCCGTTATTATAACCAGGAGGCTCATGTGATCTGTGCAGAGACTCAAAAAACAAACTTGTTCCCCTTGCTGGCTGTCTCTGGACAGCCTTCCTCTCCTCCTTTCCTACCATCAGGGAAGTAAATCTCTTCTTCGGATCCCTGTCCTGTCTGTGGGAACTGGTTTGAAGAGTTCATCACTGTGAGGACGGAGGATGCCGGCCCAGGGTGTGGGCACAGTCAAATATGAGCTGGATAGGATGGTGGCCACTAACAGGCTGTGTCCCTGAGCCCAAAGATGCTCCTAGACCTTTCTGCCTAGCAGTGACCACCCTTAATGTGCTCAGTATTCGTTTTCTGCTTATTGACGGTCCTCCTCCCCCAAGTTCAAACTCTCTGAGGACAGAGGCTTTTTCCTCCCTGCTCTGGCCATGGAGGCTGAAATTGCACCCAACATAAACTGAGTGCTCAATAAATATGTTTTGACTTAGTGAACGAGTTGGGGCAGAGTGGTATTGGGGGCGGGAGGAGCCAGGAC